CGGCATATGGGGGCTATATGAAGACGTGGACCTACATGGCCCATTTTCTGTTTTATGCTGCAGTATCTATTACGAACTTCAAATACCAAATTTGGAACAATTCCGCTAAATAATGTCGTTAAAATCATCAAAATACCGAATATCGGGGGTACCGTTATATGGGGACTATATGAAGACGTGGACCTACATGGCTCATTTTTTGACTTAGGATTTAGTATCTATTACGAACTTCAAATACCAAATTCGAAACGATTCCGGTAAACAATGTCGCTAAAATCATCAAAATACCGAATATCGGGGGGTACCGTTATATGGGGGCTACACGAAGACGTGGACCTGCACAGATAATTTTCTGTCTTAGGCTGTAGTATCCATTACGAACTTTAAATGCCAAATTTGAAACAATTCCGGTGAATAATGTCGCTAAAATCATCAAAATACCGAATGTCGGGAGGTATCGTTATATGGGGGCTATATGATAACTTGGACCTACATGGCCCATTTACTAACTTAACCTGCCTACTGGCAAAATATACATGTGTGCAAAATTTTAGCCTTCTATCTTAATTTGTTCGAAAGATAGCGTGATTACAACAGACCGACAGACACACAGACAGACAGACGGACATGGCTAAATCGTCGTAGAATTTTACGCTGATCAAGAATATATATACTTTGTTGGGCTGACATGAGTATTTCGAGGCGTTACAAACGGAATGACAAAATTAATATACCCTCCATAGTATGGTGCAGGGTATAAAAACGGCGAATAATGTAGCTAAAATCATCAAAATTCCGAATATCGGTACCGTTTTATGGGGGATATAGGAAGACAATTTTCTGCCATAGGCTGTAATATACATTACGAAACATTTCTGGTGAATAATGTCGCTTAAATCACCAAAACACCGGAAAAGGGGAGGTACCATTATATTGGGGCTATACCAAAACGTTGACCTATATGACCCATTTTAGAATTTAAAGCTGATCAATAATATAACTACTTTGTGGGGTCTAAATGAATATTTCTGGGTATTACAAACGGACTGACAAACTTACCCTCGATGCTATGGTGGAGGGTAAAATATGGCATCAATTTAGTTTATATCTATTTTTTTATAATTTTACTGCGCAATACTTATCGACTTATATGCAATATTGCCGAATACACTATATACCTAAAATGCAGAGATTTCGAGGAAAATGAATCAGAAAAATTCCTAAAGTGTGGAAGAATGGGGAAATTGTCTCTTCTATTCAGGTTACTTTGAGACTTAAACTTTCAAAATGTCGATACCGCGTCTTCTTTTTTAGCTCTATTTTCATAATCTGCTGGATTACGTTCTGTATTATGGTGACTATAATAAAACGTGGACTACAGGAGGTACGAAATATTATGAACTCTTTAATACCGAATTTGAAGCTATTCCGCTAGAAAATATGGCTAAAATAATCAAAATACCGAATATGACAATGTTCGCTACAGGAGATATAATCTATTTTAAACTGTAAATATAACCTATTTTGAACTGTGAATAGCGACCCTTTACCATAGAAAGTGAAGCTAAAATCATAATTTTTATGATTATTGGAAGATACCGTTATGTATATACCTGTATGAAAACGCGGACCTGTATGACCTACGTAGCTTATCTTTGAACTTTACCTGCCTGCAGACAAAATATAACTCTAAGTTTAATCTTAGCTCTGTACCATATGCCGTTTGGACTCTAGCGTGATTAAAACAGACGGACGGATATGGCTAAATGGACTTAGAATTGTATGCTGATCAAAAATATATACTTTGTTGGATCTTAAGTCAAGTAAAAGAGGGCGATACGAGGGCGGTTCGGAAAGTTTTAGCCTATAAATGAAGGAGAATAGATAGTTATTCAAAATTATTTTTTTTTTAATATAATCTCCTGAAACTTCAATACACTTAGTCCAAAGCTTTTCTAGCAATTGCATCCCTTGATTAAAATAGTTTTCAGCAATATCTTCAAAATAGTGGTTTACAACTGTAATTTGCATCTTAATTTGAGGTAAAACGCTTGCCAGCAAGGATTTTTTTAGATTTGGGAGTAAAGGTAAATGTCTCTGACAGCTAAATCAGGAGAATAAGGTGGGTGGTCAAGCAACTCGTACTTTAATTCGTTATTTTGTCTCTGGCATCTAGTGATGTATCCATGACTCATCAACAGTTATGAAACGACGCTTAAATTCCTTTTATTTTCGCTTGATACGATCCAAACAAGCTTGAGAAATGTTCACTCTTATGCGTTTTTGATCGACTGTTAACAAATGCGGCAACATTAAATGGACTCGATCTTTTGAGATACCCATGATATTAGCAATTTCACGCAATTTTATTCGTCGATCATTTAATACCATATCATGTACTTTGGCTACAATTATTGTTGTTGTTGCTGTTTTAGGACGTCCACTACGTGGTCCATCTCCAATGCATGTTCGACCACGTTTAAATTCAGTAACCCAATTTTTTACTGTTGAATATGAGGGAGCACCTTAACCTAAGACATTCACATTATCATAATGAATTTCTTGTTGAACACCTGTTTCTACATGAAGGAGTTGCCAGATCGAAACAAAACTTAACATGTGTTCATAACAGAGATGACAGTTTCTAAAACACTTTACTTTTTTTCTGTTAATACCGCGCTTTTTATACTAGGTTAAGAAGTTTCCGAACTACCCTCGTAATTCAGAGAACGTTTATATGCGGTGTGCAGAGAATTTACTGGATGTTAATGATGAAACAATTGATCAGTGAATTGAGATTTATTTAAAATAAATTTCATGAAAAATATTGCCAAGTTACTTAGTAAACAAATCTAAAATAGTCTCTGGCGAATACTAGACACATAAACGTGTTTACCTGAATAGAGTTTTATTCACATTTTATTCAGGTGTAAAATTGTACCTTTCAGTGCCTTAATTTGAATGAGAAATTCTGAAATTCACACGCATGGCTGGAATTAACTTCAATTTTGACAATTTACTTCATTCATTCAACTTGCCGTTTTTTTTTGGTAAATGAACGTTAAGTCTACCCCCTTTTGACATCCATTGACTGTGGTTGCATTTGCTCGGCCAGAATAACAAAGAGAAGTGTTAAGGTTGTTTTATTTCACCGGTATAAATGGTATGGAACAAACACCGGATGTTAATTATATGATTTTGACCCTACATCATGTTGTTTGTGTAGTCGAATGCAAAGCAGAATGACTAGTTTTGTCGACGGCACACCATTGATAACCACCCAAAAAAGTATGTACCTAGAATTGCTAATAAAGGCCTAAATCATTTGCACTTTTCAGTACAGGAAGCTAAGAAAATTAATGGATCGTAATAATGGAAATTAAAAATGCGAAATGTTATAAACATGAAAATATATTTAAATACGGCGTTCATCTTTAATAAATATAATGGTGTAATGCTGGTTGTAATATACTAACAAGTGCCGACATTTGCCTTATGTTTTAGCCACAAAGTAAACAATTACAATGTATTAACAATTGGCACCTCTTCTATCTTTTATATGTATAACAAGTAGAAAAGCCGCGGGCTGAACTTTAAATACCCTCTACCAATTAGAGGGAACTTGAAATAAATTCCGTGGAAAAATATCGCACAAAATGAAATCCGTTATATGGGGGTATACGAAGACGTGGACCTACAAGCAGACGGACATCGCTAAATCGACTTAAATTCTACCCTGATCCAGAATATATATATATATATATATATATATATAATGTACCCTCCACAGTATAGTGAAGGGTGATAGCGAATGACCCGGTTTGACATACATTTTCCTTCTGTTGTTTGTAATTTCTTTAAAAGAGTTTTGTATGCAAGAAATTTTTTTAGAAAAGCCTCCAGAAAAATCGGTAAATCGCAAAAATCGAATGTTATTTTTTATACCCTCAACCATATGACTATGACGGTTTTAGACCATAGTTCCCTTTGGATCAAATCCGTTTCAGGACATTTGGAGTGGATCTAGCGATCGGTGAGTTTGTCTGTCTATCTGTCTGCTGACTGATGCGTACGATAACTCTCGAAGGGAGTGTCCGATTTGACCTAATCTTGGTGCATCGTAATATTATTATCAAACTTAGATCTAGTTCGGAGATGGACAATACGGTCTACTACTTCTGGTACCTCTCCCAAAGGCCGAAATTTTCAAAAGAAATAACTTATTGCACAGAAAGAGAAAGGATAATCCGATTTTGCATTAACTTTGCAAATCCTAATATTTGTATCAGTGCTAAGTAATTTGTGATTATTCCATCCGGACCACTCCATCAAGTACCTTCCCCCAAAGGGTCAACATTTTCAATAATTATAACTCATAAAAAATGTGATGTAAGAGTCCGATTGTTTTTAAATTAAACACAATATTAAACACTCTAATATTTTTATGAACCCAAGGTCTGCTGTGAAAATGAAATATATCGGTCCACTCCTTCTGGTACCTCTCCCAAAAAGGGTCAAAATTTTGAGTATCCATGAAGCTAATAAAACGCGAAATTAACATCCGATTCCATTCAGGCGTGGTACATCTCAATATTCCCTGTCATAAAGATGGTAGTGATCGCAAAATTCCTTTTTGTACCTTCCCTACATAGGGTTCGAGATTTTGAAAAACAAAACGGTAAAGAAAGCGAAATAAGCATTCAACTCTCTTCAAATTTTACACATTCAAATATCTGCAAAAAAAATTAAATTTCCTTCAAATTTTCTTTCCTTCGGACAGACGGACGAACGGACATACATAGCTAGGTCGACTCAGCTCGGCGAGATAGGAAGATCCAGATATACTTTCCTATGTGGGAAACCAATATTTCGAGGTGTTACATAATTTTTGGCCCAATCAAACCTATAATACCCCCAAAAAACATAGTGTCTTAGAGTATAAATATTGTTAAATTTTTATTTTGCTTTATTTTTCGTCATTTTGAAATTTCATAACGAAAGTTTTTCAATTTGACTTACAATATTAAATTTTACATTTCGTATTGTTTTTTTCCTTTTTTTTGAATTCTGGTTGAAAGAGCCAATGCGATGGTAAGTGTGACTGCGATCCTAAATGTAGACATTTTCCAAATTATTGCCCTTTCAGTTGGGAACGTGGCTAAATTAGGATCTCGCAACGCAGCGCTAGAACATATATTGGGAATTTTTGAAGGATATATATTTCTAATTAATAATATATTTCTAAAAATGACGGTTATATCGAAAATTCCAAACAATGAGAACTGCATTGGGCCTGAAATTAGTAAAATCCTGAATATACCATATGGTGGACATTATCGAAAATGAAGTGACAAAGGGAATTATATGATCGAAAAATTATCGCAAAGCCCTATAGAGAACCAGAGCAAAACGATTTTCTATGGAAAGCATTAAATACCTTATTGGTGATCATTGGATTGGCGGAAGTTTCGAGATGCACTTATATGGAGTTATACCTAAAGAAGGATCGATATAGACCATTTTAAATAATTCGCCCACAATATTTAATCGCCTCAAAAATCCCAATAACAGCCGATTTGATTGGAAAATTTTTCCGAGCCCTTTACTATACTAGTTTTTAAGCTGAGATGTTAATGTGGGTATTAGACAAGTTGGCATATACAATTTATTTTTATAGATTTTCTATATCCATTAGGTTTTGAACTGTGAAATGAAAGTCATGCGGTTGGATAAAGTTTTTAGGACCTTTAAAACAGAGCGGTAAGTGAATCTCCTTTTCTATTTAAATTCAGTGGAAGAATCTTTTGAAAATATATGCTAATAAATTCAGTTGGAAGCTAACATCTTTAGCAAAGTTTACAACTCATATCATGCATCAGTTGTGCGGGTTGGAATATATTGGAATAGCCCCTTAAGTCCAAACCCATTTTAGTCAATTTTTTGAAATAATGCAATCAATCTTGCACTAATGTTACCTTTGGTTTTTGGCCGGGGCATTTGCCCTATATTTTCTTCTCTGTCGTGCTGTTTGGCCTTCAAAACAATTCGCATAAAATTTTTGGTCAATTTTACCCGCAAAATATAATCATCTAAAATATCCGACTTCTGCCCTGTCCCTTACTCTCTCCTCATGTAGATAGACTGAAAAATCAGGAATGTTTGGTCCATTTGAACCCCTAAACATACAACTTCAAAACAATATGATTCTATTCTGACCCTAACCGACCTCCATGCAAAATTTCGTTTGGATCAGTCTATAATTGCAACCTGAATACAATATCCTCAACATATAGTGTTTTAGAAAATAAAAAATATTACAAAATATTCAAATCAATATTGTAAGTAAGAGATGAAAAAATTATAAAAAATATTCAGTTTCTAATATCAATATTTTTGAGCGATTTTCTAAGATTTTATCCTTTTCTGGCAAGAGGCCATTCCGAATTGATGAGTATTTTGAAAATCAGTCCAGCGGTTATTGACATAAAGGCGAAATAACTAACATAAATTTCTTTTACATTGTACCTATTTTACCATGTAGACTATAGCTAAGATTATCAGTATCACTGTGACGACCAAAGGGACATTTTTATGTATTTGTGATTTCGCCAGGATTAAAAATGTTCGCGGGTCAGTGGAAATGTTTGTATTTTTACATAAAAGTCAAGGTCTAATTTACCCGCTAAATGTTGTCCGATGACCAAACAAAATGTAAGGCTTCTGTCCAGCCCTAAACACTAACCGCATGCTGAGTTCCACGTCGATCAATAATTGCTGCAAAATCAGGAAATTTTTCTATTGTTGGTCCATTTCAACCCCTAAATATTTTGCGATCATCTCCAAAAACATAAGGTCCTGACCCTAAGCTCACCTCCATTCTCAATTTCGTGAGGATTGGGCCATAATTGCGACAAGTAGAGTGATTACAAATTAATATGAACAGACGACCGCGCGGACATACTTAGCTAGACCGACTCAGCTCGGCGAGATAGGAAGATCCATATGTAGTTTTCTATATCGGGGACAAATATTTCGAGGTGTTACATAATTTTTAGCCCAATCAAACAAAAAGTATGAAATATACAATTCTATCAAAGTTTTAGCATATGCTACTATATAAGCACTAGCCGATTTTGGTTGATTTTGGTTCTTGGTCACATTTTCCAGTTAGGTTGATCCTAATATGATATTTAGAAATTTTAACTGCCACACATTTTCAAAGGACTAAAAATAAGTTCTTACGGGATCAAGTGCAAAATTGTTATGATTTTAACATAACTCACCAGCACCTTTACTTGTTAAATTTGTTTTCCACCTTTATATTTCGTACCAATAAATATAAATGTAAAATTTCTAAACTTTCATATCGCATATCATATATTAAGTATTGCCCATTTTATTGAAAATATTGACAACTCTAACAGTTATATAACGCTTCAAAACTCTAGAACCTGCACACCTTTAATAACCCTCAGGCACAATTTTAAAGAAAAAACAAGTTAAAAAGCAGTAAGTTCGGCCAGGCCGAACTTTGAATGCCCTTCACCATTTGGAACGAATTTGGAAATTTTCAAAAAATAAAGTCCTTAAAAAATTCTGTTAAAATTTTAAAAATACCGAATATAGCTGTTAAATTAGAATATATATACTTGGTTGGGTCTGACATGAGTATTTCGAGGAGTTACAAACGGAATGACAAAGTTAATATACCCTCCATAGTATGGTGGAGGGTATAAAAACTACAATAGGTAATAAATTCACAGACAAAACTTTCTATGACCAAGAATTTGAACTTCTTTTTCTTGATACATCCCTCACTTAGTGGTCATTCCTTATTCCAAACCCCAAAACGTTTGATATATTGAGTTATCAAGAATAATTGCAAAAAAGATTTCTAAGTTAAGATTACGAACTGCAAGGTTCTCAACCACATTTTTCTGTCTTCCAGTTTTCATTTGTCAAGTTTTTTTCTGAGAGGTAGCGCCGAAATGTATATTTAAATTCAAATTTGTCTTTGTATAGACATGCAATCCGTAAATATATCATGCTTTTATTTTTGGTTGTCAGTTCTGTTCGTAATTGCACTTATATTTCCTCCAACACTGTCCCCACAATACTTTAAACTACGCATTTGTTACCAAATATTTTTGTTCACAAATGGTCTAATCTTAAAGTAAATTATTCTAGGTGTAATTAAAAAGATGGGAATTTAATGTCTAAGACGGATACACATGTTGATCATCACGATATCGCCATAGTCAGGCCGTCATCCCGGCCATCATCATAAACAATTTGCATATTTTTTTCTTTTTTGGCTGTCAACCTGTCAGTTAGTTCGTCATTAACTCTTAAAAAGTGTACAATGATGACTGACAGTTCTAACGAACGAGCGAATTAATGGACAAATCCAACGAAGAAAATAGAAAAAGAAAAAAAATTAAGCGGAATCACACTACACCACAACTGGTTGGCAACGAATGATATTTCTTTTTATAAAGATATACCAATTGTAACCGCTAAATTATGTATATACACGCATAGTGGCCGAAAAATATAAAGTGGCGGATAGCACGGCAGCGGGTCAAATGGAAAATAGTTCAGTCTTGAGAGGAAATGCCACATTTTCATTTGAAGAGGGTGTGTTGCGATCGAGTGATGAAAACTTTTCTTAACAGACATTTCATCAAAAAGGGGTTTCAAACATTTTTCATTAATTTTAAACTTGAGAATCATTCGCGATTGTTGCTTAGGAATAGTAATATTTACGGCCTAATGAAAAACATTCTAAGTGGCCAAATTCAATTAGCCTCTTACACAAATTATTAGCAGAATATGCTGGTTAAGTGGAACAGTCTATGGTTGAGTCACTAAAACATAGTAAATGTAAACATTTTTTTTTTTTTTGGATGATTTAACCAATAAGATAAATTCCTTTAAGTTTGGAAAAATTTAAAATAGCTTATTCTTAAAATATAAAAATAGTAAATACTGATACTACTTGCACATTCAAACCATATTCGACTTTGAAGATATTTTTATACCCTTCAACACATAGTGGTAAGGGTTTTATGTCTTTGTGCATTTGTTTGTAACAAAGAGATATACCCATAGTTACTTTTGAGGATGACCTGTCAAGACTAGACGCAAGTACTAAAAAAATTATGAAAAAATTATCGTAATATGCAATCTACAAGAATGATATTTGGTACCAGATCTCAAAAATACCCCTGTCAAAGTTTATCGAGATTGGAACAGATTTGGATATATCTCCCATACATATCTTAATCCAATATCGAATTAACTGAATTTTGGAACTTCCGACTAAATTCATCATCAGATATAGCTAGAGCTCCCATATATATGCGTCATCCGATTTGGTGTTAAAGTCCCCCACATGCGTAATATGCACTCCACAACAATGATATTTAATACCGGATATCAATACAGCTTCAGAATACTTCTGTCAAGTTTTATTGAGATCGGTTCAGATTTTTTATTTCTTTAATATATATCTTCATCCGATTTTACGGTTATTGTTCACCATATACAGAGTGAGATGAAAAAATTACAACCAACTTCAGACTGCTGTCATTTTTAAGGCACTCATCTGACAGCTGTTAAAATTATTCCAGTGATAGCTCATTATATTGTTTACAAGCGTACAAAAGCATTTTGGTGAGAATTTTCCAGAAAGCATTATTCGTGATGGAATTCAAGCGTGGTAGTGTGATTTCTTTATATTTGGCTGGAATACCACAGGTGGCTATCGTTAGAGCACTCCAACATTTAAATGTGAATGAATCTTTGGTGTCTCGTATCATCGCTCGTTAGCGTGATACTGTTAGCGTAGCCCAACGTCATGGAGGTGGACGGAAGAAAACAGCAACATCAGCAGAATTGGTTCGAGGACAATGAAGCGACTTGATCGAAGCCCGCGTCGCAGTGGCCGAAAAATGTTTCATGAGCTGAATATATCGCAATATTACATTCGGCAAATATTGAAAAATGAGCTCGGGGTAAAGCCATTGAAATACCAAAAAGTGCAAGAACTTACACCACAAGAGAAAGAAAATAGACTCAAATTCGATTTGCCGAAAGTGGTGAACTGCCGAATTTGGCTTTCTCCGATGAGAAAACATTCGTTGTCTAGCAGTTCGTAAACAAACAAAATGATCGTATTTACTTGCCAAAGAGGTCAGCTGAAAATGTGCACCTTCGGTTGGCCACCATAACTCATGTGCCGGCCATGGTGATGGTGTGGGCCGCCATAACTGCCGATGGTCGCTCTCCGCTTGTATTAATCGACGGTGGCATCAAGTAAGCGCTTCGCCGGGAATGGGCCAAAATACCGCAGAGCAACATTCGGGCAGCGTATGACGGTTTCATTAGCCGTTTGAAAGCCCTAATCCGTGACCAAAGCCCAAAGGTGACCAATTCAAACAAATCTAAATTTATTCTAAAATTTGATGCTATTTCCGACATTTTTTGCTTTCATTCAATAAAATGTTAAAATGATAGCATTTGACTTTGTTGCAGTTTTTTATCTCACTCTGTATGTAATACCAGCCCAAATTGGATTGAATTGTTCATATTCAACCAATTTTTATACCCTATAACACTATGTGTTGGGGGTATTATAAGTTTGATTGGGCCAAAAATTATGTAACACCTCGAAATATTGGTTTCCCACATAGGAAAGTATATGTGGATCTTCCTAGCTCGCCGAGCTGAGTCGATCTAGCTATGTATGTCCGTCCGTCCGTCTGTCCGTCTGTCCGTCTGTCCATGTTAATTTGTAATCACTCTACAGGTC